CCTCAAGGAGTGCAATACAAAGTCCATGGTTTGAATCTATGTTGAGCTACTAACTCAAAAAGAGATCATAGGTAAGGCTTTCTCATTTAGGGCTTGTCTGCATTGACTGTACAGCCTACATTGAGTCTAAAGTCCCTCCATGATGTCCAGGGACTCCCGGTCTTTATTGTGGAGTAAACTATTTTTTCTGATTTAAGTTGGATTAGAATAAACCAACTCCAGGAATTGCTACAAAATTTGAATGTGCCACGAGGTGGCTGATAATATTTTAGCATAAATGAAATGTGTTGATCTCCATAATACCACAATAATATAATACAATACAAAACTTTATTATGGTCACTGACCAACACAAAGCAGGGCACAAGCATCCTGAGAAGGGGAAACACAGCTCCCCAGTGAGGCAGTTATTAAAAACAGATTAGAGAACAGTTTAAAATCACAGTTAAGTGTTTCTCTACCGGGGGGGGGGGGGGTTGGCACCCCGGGGGGTCATGAGGGGGTGTCAGAGGGGTTGCCAAAGACCATCAGAAAACACAGTATTTTTTGTTGGTCATGGGGGTTCTGTGTGGGAAGTTTGGCCCAATTCTATCATTGGTGGGGTTCAGAATGCTCTTTGATTGTAGGTGAACTATAAATCCCAGTAACTACAACTCCCAAATGTCAAGGTTTATTTTCCCCAAACTCCATCTGTGTTCAAATTTGGACATATTGAGTATTTATGCCATAAATATTGAGTATTTATGCCAGATCCATCATTGTTTGAGTTCACAGTGCTCACCGGATGTGAACTACAATTCCAAAACTCAAGGTCAATGCCCACTAAACCCTTCCAGCATTTTCTGTTGGTCATGGGAGTTCTGTGTGTCAAGTTTGGCCCAATTCTATCATTGGTGGAGTTTAGAACACTCTTTGATCATAGGTGAACTATAAATCCTAGCAACTACAACTTCCAAGTGACAAAATCAAATGCCCTTCCCAACCCCATCAGTATTCAAATTTGGGCATTTTGGATATTTGTACTAAATTTGGTCCTATGAATGAAAATACATCCTCATATCAGATATTTACATGATGATTTATAACACTAGCAAAATTATAGTTATGAAGTAGCAACGAAAATAATTTTATGGTTGAGGGTCACCACAACATGAAGAACTGTATTAAGGGGCCACGGAATTAGAAAGGATGAGAAACACTGGTCTAGATGCACCCAGAATGTGTCCCTTCCTATCCTATCCCCTCTGCAGGCCTTTCTGTCCTGAGAACTTAAACCAGAAGGCTGGAGGGAATAATTCAATGTTACGGGTTCTCTCTTGTGGAACTGCGGTGAGGGGAAAAGAATTATCTGAAACTGATTGGTTGAAACTTGCATTGCTTGCATAAGATATCACAGGCCAATCACTTGCCGTTCCCTCTGGTTTTTTTAAAATCCATATTAGGACAATTTATGATTGACATAGGATTTTAACACAGGGGGTAGCAAATTATGAAATAGCCATTGATGTTATGCAACCTCTCACATGATGAAGCTGTTCCCAGATATTGATGGGCAAAACCTTTCATAGCTTACTGTTACTGTTATGGCATGCTAGTGAAGTCCTTCTCTCCCATTCTCTCCTTGATGAAAATGAAATATTTCTATTTCTAATTCATTTTAATCTAAATTGCAAACAATTGTGAAGTTTAAATTAAAGAACCTTTTAAAAAATTAAAAAGAGGAAAATGGCACAATGGAAGGGTGGAAGTGCAGCCACAGGACCTCCCACTGTCCAGATGTTGCATTGCATAGCACTATGATGAAGATGATGCATATTCCAGAAAGGTGCTATTATCCTGGTCACAGAAATGCTGTGAGATAGTGGCTTCATGTGGTAAAACCTTAAATGGTTCATACCTGAAAGATAGTAACTATCTTGTTCTGCTGTTCAGAATTTGGCCCAGCTCACTAAAACTACTCTTCTGGTGATTTGCAAAAACACAATGAAAAACTATCTGTAAATACTCAGTTCTTGTGGGTTTTTTCGGGCTATATGGCCATGTTCTAGAGGCATTTCTCCTGACGTTTCGCCTGCATCTATGGCAAGCTTCCTCAGAGGTCTGAGGTCTGCTGGAGCTGGGAAAAAGGGGTTTATATATCTGTGGAATGACCAGGGTGAGACAAAAGGCTTTTGTAAGTTGGGCTAGGTGTGAATCTTTCAACTGACCACCTTGATTAGCATACAATGGGCTGACTGTGCCTGGAGCAAACTCTTCTTGAAAGGTGATTAGATGTCCCTGCCTGTTTCTCTCTGCTGTTTTTGTTGTTGCAATTTTAGAATTTTTTAATACTGGTAGCCAGATCTTGTTCATTTTCATGGTTTCCTCCTTTCTGTTGAAATTGTCCACATGTTTGTGTATTTCAATGGCTTCTCTGTGTAGTCTGACATGGTGGTTGTGAGAGTGGTCCAGCATTTCTGTGTTCTCAAATAATATGCTGTGTTCAGGTTGGTTCATCAGGTGCTCTGCTATGGCTGACTTCTCTGGTTGAAGTAGTCTGCAGTGCCTTTCATGTTCCTTGATTCGTGTTTGGGCAAGGCTGCGTTTGGTGGTCCCTATGTAGACTTGTCCACAGCTGCATGGTATACGGTAGACTCCTGCAGAGGAGAGGATCCCTCTTGTCCTTTGCTGAACGTAGCATTTGTTGGATTTTCTTGGTGGGTTTGTAGATTGTTTGTATGTTGTGTTTCCTCATCAGCTTCCCTATGCGATCAGTGGTTCCCTTGATGTATGGCAGGAACACTTTTCCTCTGGGTGGATCTTCATCTTGACTCTCGTGGCTTGTTCTTGGTCTTGCTACGTTCAGCTATCTTGGTCTTGGTCTTGGTCTTGGTCTTGCTACGTTCAGCTATCTGTAAATAGCTGAACGTAGTTCAGCCTCTTTACCACTTGAATTCTTAAACTCCTGCCAAAAAGCACCTACCTGTTTCTAGACATCACAGCTAAGCAACATAGGATCTTGCCTTGTACCCCAGCTCTGGAAGAACAAGGCTGATTCTAGCTATTTATGGCAGCGTACAAAGAGAGTCTCAAGGAAGCTCTTAGGGTCATTATTCACAAAGTGATGCCCTGCCAATACTTTCAGAAGGATGTTTTACACACAAGCATTGCTTTCCCTTGAATAGCTTTTTGGTTTGTAGTTTCATGTGCATGCAAAGAAAGGGAATGGATGTGAAAAATCTTTTTAATAATTTTACATAAATAAATATTCATATAGTAGGTTAAATATTTTATTGTATATGTTATTTTGTACAGTATGACCACTATATAGACAGTTTCACTTATTTTGTTATTTCCTTAAGGCTTGCTGTATAAGCTACACTCTTGCCTTAGTACCTCCATAATAATAATAATAATAATAATAATATAATAATAATAATAATCTTTATTTGTACCCCGCTCCATCTTCCCAATGGGGACTCGGTGCGGCTTACATGAGGCCAAGCCCAAAACAACAATTACATAAAATAAAGCAAAACTGAAAACGTAAATAATAAACAATAATAATGCAATTACATAAAACAAAGGACAACGTAGCAATATAAAATTACGATAAAGACAATCACAGTAACATGGGCGAGCTACATGTAATGGATAAAAGAAAATTGGGTAGAAACAGATTAAAAACTCAGGCGAGATAAACAAGGACAGATTATGTGCAGAGGAGAGTTTGTTTTAGTGGAGGTCGTGGAGCAAAACTTTCCTATGGGGGGAATGCACTCCAATAACAAAAACCGTTAAACTAAACACTAGTATGAGGATGTAGATCTCATCAAATGCGCAGCAGAAGAGCCAGGTTTTGAGGTTCTTTTTAAAGGTTTCTAGGGTAGGGGCTATCCTAATCTCTCCAGGGAGTGAGTTCCAGAGTCGGGGAGCCACAGAGGAAAAAGCTCTCTCCCTTGTACTCACCAAGCGAGTCTGGGAGACTGGCGGGGGTGAAAGAAGGGCCCAAGATGGTTCATGGAGAGAGATATGGTCACGAAGGTAGGCATATTTCACATAATAGGGTTTGCTATTATCTACAGTTTCATGTATCTGCATGAAGTCTGAAGATGTATCCTCCACGGATGTGGCCATACTGTATTTTCCTATAAACCACTTTGGAATTTTAAATTGAGAAGCTATATATAGAGAGAGAAGGAGGGGAGAGTATTACACACACACACACCTCCAGTATCTTCTTATAGAGTTAGGAAAATGTATTTCTGCATCAACAATAAGATGGAAGAGATATCCTTTGGTCTTTACATAATATCAGAATCATCACCATCCTGTGCACAAGGATCAGAGAACCCATTATCCCTGATCACTGATCTTGCTGGTTGAGGCTATTGGAGGATGGAATCCAATATCAACCTGGGGGGCAGGGAATAGTTACCCATGTTTCTCATGACAAATCATAAATGGTTCAACAAAGATCTCTTCAATTTGAAAAGCCATTGGTTTGCATCATGGCATGGGACATCTTTTCTAGCAACATAAGCAAAGAGCATTCTTGGATGTGCAACACAAGTCTATGTGATCCTTTGAATCCTGGCCCATATTACAACATTCACTGCACAGATAAATAACATATGCTGAAAACTCTTCTCCTATTGCAAATGTGTTTAGATGCCACTTGCTGTGGCTGTCAGGGCTGCCACATATTCTTTGGTATTTCTCAATGTTGCCAACTTTTGCTATTGTTTAAACATTTCTCTTCTGATGCTTGTCCTCCACCCACCCATAGAAAGAACCAATGACACTAATTCAGTATTAAGCCTGTATTAAGGCTGCATGAAAGAAAGGCGATCCCTCCCGCCTCTTACCACTCCTGCCTTTGGCAATATCTTTCTCAAAGTATTCTCTGCAAACAGAACTGCTTAACTTAAATTAGGACAAGGTCAAATATGTGCAAGTTGAATGATCATTTATTTATCTAGGTTTTTCTGTGGGTTTTCTGTTGTAGGCAGAAGCATTCCTTTGTTTTCTGTTTGTACGGCCTCCGATTGGGAAGACAAGCATGGATAGGGAGGTAAGCGATTAATTTTTGAGGGGAAATTCAAGATAATGGTTTTTTTCCTTCATAATATTATTCATAAGAGTGACAGAATGGAAGCAGGCAGGCAGTCAGGCACTTTCCCCCTGTTTTCTGTTACTGAGAAGTGAAGGGGAATGATTAACGAGAATTGTAGACAATGTAGTACTAATAGAGAAAGGGGGACCCACAGAAGTTAAACAAAAGTGCCTTCAAGAATTTAGAGTATTCCCAGGGATCTATAGTAGAACCTCATTGTGCCTGTCTGCTGTTTCTATTTTTGATTAGATTTATAAACACAGCACCACATATTTTCATGTGGTTTTCTAGCCCAGGGGCAGAACGAGATTGACTGCACTGAAACTGTGAGGCTTGTGAATTTCGGGCAAGGGACAGAGTGAAATAAGTAGTGTAATTGTTTTTGTGGAGTGACCGTGGGACCTCCTCTGTTCTGAATTACACATGGTTCAACCCTTTGACCTAACCAACCTCGGCAGTGCCTGGTAGCTCTCCTAAAGCTGTGCTGAAAGGTCCTATCAGTGACATGTTGGAACATTATCTGTCATGCGAGATGTGTGCCAACAACCATATTAAACTACATTAATTACTACCAAGACTCATGTTTGTGACAGTCTCTGCCTCATTCAACCCATCATAGCAGTGCTTATTGTTTAAAGCAGAAATACAAATGGGCAGTTGGTTGAATCAAAACATAATGAAAGCATTCTGTTTTAAATTTACACTTTTAAAATATTGATTGATTTGTTTAAACCCTCTATTCTGCTCTTCTAGCACCCCATTCAGGGTGGTGAGTGCATTCTTATCAGTTACCCCATTTTTAAAATCAGCAATCTGATGTTGTTTTAAAAACAGCAAAATAAACAGATAAAATAAAAATGTGTTTGTCTTTTAATTGGGAAAGTGCATAATTCTACAATGATTATGTTTATTCCTCACTACTGTTTTAGAAGTATTTTTCACCAAATAAAACTTTATTTTTATTGTATGGATGTATCTGTATGGTAATTATATGTGTACATGCTATATATGCATTCAAACCAGAGTTATGTTGCTGGAAACAGTGCTTCCTAAGTTATCTGATATGGGAGGAGGGGGCTAGCATTGTTTTTTTCCCCAATGCCATATTTGTGTCCCATGGGCTATAATTGGTTCTTTCATCATGGTAACTCTCCAGGGACGAACAGCTAATAGCTTGTGGACTGCTTGCATTTCATGGACCACCACTTTTCAGTAGCATTGGCCTAAAGAACTCTGGATTAAGTATATTAAATGAAAACAATAACTTGGAATAGGTTTATCTAGAGAAGCAATTTGGACCTGCAATTTTATGATAGCACTACTGTTTGGGAATATATTGAATAGCTGGAATGAACTGACCAATGTAATCATTTTGGCATGTACATTGTATATTCTGTATATCCTTTGTAGAGGTTCTGTACAATCTGTGCACCCCCCCCCCCCATATACAACATGAAGAGAAATCAGTGGTTATTTAAATTTTTGCCTTAGCTCTTTGACAAAAAATCTTTTCAAAAAGTTACTTTTAAAACCTTTAGTGCCAGCTTGTACAACAACAAGAACAATAACCATGGAACTACAGTATAATTGACTCCCCGTCATGTGGCATATTCGTACTTAGCTGTAAATTGTTCACTTTGCCTAAAAGCAGACAGGTGCAGATTTGCAAGCTGTTTCACTTCGGATGTTGTTGCTTAAAGAGAGGGAGCGATGAGCCAGTGACTGGTTGCAAGTTGGAAGGTTCTCACTCTGCATGCATAACGAAAAGTCTAAAGAGGGCTGAACTGTTATAGAAGACCAAGCACATTAGCAGGATTGACTCACAGGAGGAAGATGTATTACATTACATTAAAGTAAGATTCCAGCCATATTTCCCTAGGAAGATAGAGCTTTGGAAACCAGGTTCTGTTTTATGTTTAAAGACTAATGCTCTCACTGAAGTGAATGAAAGCAGAAGCCATGGTACCTGTTCCTGTTTACCATCATTACACTCCTTGGAGCATTTCAAGCATTGTTAGGTTCCTGGAATCCTATCAGATTGACAATATATTTCCAGCTCCTGCTTCTCTTTGGGCTGTATCCAGACAGGATCCCAAAGGTGGGGCGTGGATGAAGTGTAAGAATCCATGGCAGATGAATCTGCTGAGCTGGCTTGCTGAATGTTTGTAACCGCTGTTCCCTTTAAGAACACCTAATTTAATTTCACGAAGGAGACACAACATGCCAGCCTGTGTCTCAGTCTAAGGTATGTGTTTCCTAAAAGGAACTAAAACTCTGTCATTCCAAAGGCTCTCTTCTTTTTGACTCCCAGCCTGCGTAGGGACTGCTGTCTGGAAGTGGTAACTTTAACTTTAACTCTAAGCCGGCTGATGAGGTCTGTCTGTGTGATCTTCGCCGAGCAGATAAGGGTAGGGAGACAGCTCAGAGCACAGCTTGTTTACAGCGGGACAGGAGAAAACAGCGAGACACAAATGCAGGCTGACGGTTTCATGAAGCACAATTGGTTGATCACAGATTCAATCTGACTGCCCTGAACTGAGCGATGATCCGTACAGTATGCAAAATTCACTTTCTTGCTGGTCTGTGCCCACCAGCCTCGCAGCAGCTTTCGCAGAACCCCTGAGCCATGGCTTTGAGTGGAACCAGAACTGAACATGGCTTTGTTGTACCCAATTCCTTCTGACAACAATCACATTCTTTTAAAAACTTCATAGGTTTTACTTGTCACTGGTTATAAATGAGAGGTTTTTGTTGCTGCGGCTGCTGCGGTGGCTGCTACCGCTGCTGCAATTCTGCCTTTTCACACACAGACTTCATTACTGTGTTCTAGAATTAGTCTGCAAAAACATTGCAAATGCAAGCGTCCCCAAAAGGAAAATATATTTTATTCATTTCCTTCACTATTTAAACTATGAAGTTTGGCTCCAAAGAATGTGATTGCTCAGTAAAAATGCACAATCACATTAGATCGTAAGAACACAGTAAGTGTCAAACTGTCCCCATTAAAATATGCACTGTTAATTTAAAGGGGGAGAAAATGGAAATAATCTTTCGAGGTAATATTACACTTGAAAATCATGCCACTGTACAGCTGAGACAGACCATGGATTCTCTCTGCCAAGAAATCACAGGTTTGCACAGGAAAAGGCAAATGCTTAAAACAATTGAATCACAAGAGATCAGAATGCTATCATGCCAAAGCTCTGTACTTGTAATGCCATCAGTTCTCCCATCCTATCTCCTTTACAAACATGTAAATAAAACCACAATCTTGGCTACAGGGTACCAAAGTCAAGCTGCTGGAAGGTGGGGCAAAGAAATATGTGTCACACTAAAAAAAGGATTCTGATTGCTTAGGCAATAATCCATGCTCTGGCATGAAAAACACACACACCTGGCTGATATCTGAACTGAGCTATAGCTCCTCCCTCTGAACAGGTATAAGAGTAGCTGAGAGGTAAATTCAGTTCTTCAAAAACCTGTGTTCAGTTTTCCACCATTATGGCATAGTTGGGTTCTGGTTTTGCTATATATTATGAGGTGCATACTCTAGATATGGCAGGTGAAAATTAGGACAGAGTATCGAGTGACATACATTAGTATAGTGACTGTGAAATTACGATCTACATAGAACAGGTTGTATAGCTTGTGTAAACCAAATTCATCAGTTTCCTTCAGTATGTGCAGGTGATTCCCGGAGATACTTAAAAAAAATTGTTGACAGTAGTCAAAGAAACACTTGTTTTAGTCTATTTCAACATAAAAAGGGAAGAGGTGGAAGAAAGGACTCTATATGCCTGTTTTTCTTTTGAGCTTTCATGAATTTAAATCTCCTTTCTCAGGTGCACTGTAGGAGTAAAATATTTAAAATAATAATAATAATAATAATAATAATAATAATAATAATAATAATAATTTGCAGTATTTGTATACTACCCTTCTCAACTCCGAAGGGGACTCAGGGCTGTTCACAGTGTTAAAAGCACAGAGTATTTAATTACAGCTACATAGTTGTAGAGATAGGATTGGGGAGCTATTTTTTGTTTGCCTTCAAGTCATTTTTGACTTATGGCAACCCTAAAGTGAACCCACCATGGGATTTTTTTTAGAAATATTTGTTCAAAGGGATTTTATTTTGCCTTCCTCTGTGGCTGAGAGAGTGCAACTTGGTGCTAATTGTGACACTAGCCATAAACAGTTAAAGAATTGTTTAAAACGATACAGGTCTGACAGGCAGCTGGCCTCCTAGTATTGAAGTGTCAAAGCAATGCATTCTGCTTACCCAATGGTCAGTTTACTTGAAGTAGAAACATTTTCTGATGGGATTTTTTTGTGATCTGTGCAATGGTAATGGGAACTCATATAATAGTTTATGTAATTTGCCAAGAAATTGTTATCTCTGATCATGTCACTGATCCAGATTTTACTATTTTAATATGTGAACCCCCCCCCCCCCCCGCCCCACTTCCAGAACTGTTAGGGACTGATTCCTTGAACAAGACTGTACCGATGCTCCATGGCTGCTTCCCTGCTTTCTCTTCCTTATAGAGGAGCTGCTAGTTTTGATTTCTGAAGCCCTAAATAATCTGAACCAAATATCTCTCTCATTATTTCTCCATTATGTTATGTCATAATCTTTTAGGCTGTCCAAAACCGCTGCATGCTTTTTAATAGTGCTATCTGGAGGCCACTTTAAGATGTCAAACATAAGCAATCTTAGCATGAGACTTGCACTACACACACACACACACATTTATTGTTTTTTTTATTTCAACTTTCCTTAAAGTGGCAAACATGATTCTCCTTAGTTTTATCTCTCTAGGAAATCTATGTGGTAGGCATCAGGTGTAATGTTTCATAAGAGATGTCCTCTATATGAGGATTGTGCAGTTTTTCTTTGTATGTAGACGAAACAAGATGCCAAAATCCTATATTTGGAAGTATGGGTCCTTGCTAAA